CAACATCACTAGTAATTAGGGAAATACAAATTAAAACCACTCTAAGATTTCACCTTACCTCAGTCAGACTGGCTAAGATCAAGAGAACAAATGATACCAAATGTTGGAGAGGATGTGGGGAAAGGGGAACACTCATCCACGGCTGATGGGGCTGCAATCTTGTTCAACCCCTGTGGAAAGCAGTGTGGAGACCTCTTAAAAAACTACAAATGAACCTACCATTTGACCCAGTTATACCACTCCTTAGCATATACCCAAAGAACTCATCCTATTGCAGAGACACTTGTACATCCATGTTTGTTGCTGCTCTTTTCACAGTAGCTAAGAGATGGAAGCAACTTATGTGTCCCTCAACTTACGAGTGGATAATGAAAATGTGGTACATTTATATGATGGAATTTTACTCAGCAGTAAAGAAACATGAAATCATGAAATTTGCAGGTAAATGGATGGAACTAGAAACTGTTATACTAAGTGAAGTAACACAGACTGAGGAAAAAAAAAAAGGCATTATGTTCTCCTCATATGTGGATCCTAGCACCAAATCCTTATAAGTGAATATGACTTTATATCCTTACTCAGGTACAAAGGATCTGAGAGTAACCGACTGTGACTAGTAATCATCAGAGACATAGAGATTAAAGATACATGTGGAAACGTGTTAGTAGCATTAAAAATGTAGGAAACAGGATATTTTAAAATGAAATGGAGATCTTAAAAGGGTAAAAACTCATTCAATTTTGTATCTTACAGGGTTTATATTGAGTTCAATATTGTATAACTGTATTAATTCAACTGTGAACCTAAAAATTACAGCCACTGTTGAAAGAGAGTGCGTTACTGGATATGTTAAATCTGTAATGAAACGCTTCTTCTAATCATGTGGTTATTAAATTTTTTAAAAAATGTTAGAAAATTCTTCAAAGCATAAAAATTTGCTCCTTAATAATTAGTAGATGTGAAAAACATTATCATTGAAATCTACCTGATGATTTCATATCCACGCTCAGATGCCAAGGATCTCAGAAAGTAACCGACTGTGACTAGTAATAATCAGATATACAGAAATTAGAAACGCATGTGCAAACATCTTAGTGTTAATTGCATTAAAAATGAATTTTTCTGTCTGAAACTATATATTTTAATAAGGAAATAGAGATCTTTTTTAAAGGTCAAAACCTCATTTAATTTTATATCTTATAGGGTTTATATGGAGTACAATATTCTATAACTGTATTAATTCAACTGTAAACGTAAATATTTGCAGCCAATTTTGAAAGAGATGCATTTTAGCTCTGGAAATTGTTATTGAATATGTCAATGCTGTTGTAATGAAATGCTTCTTCTAAGTATGTGGTTATTAACTAAATAATTTTAAAAAATGTTGAACTCACCGATCCACTCTATTCTCTTGTCTACAATGACCTAATAGTCCTCACCTATGCCTGTGATTAAAGTAGTATGTTCCTAAACATTCCATCTATATGCTTTCCAATTCATGTCTCTGTCTTTGACCTCTGTCCTAAGACCTAAGTTCACAAGTGTTTCCACTTGAAGGTCAACAGACAAATGCAAAACAAAACTGTGGAGCCCCATCAGACCCCATCTCTCATTCAACTGATTCCATATCAGGAAATGACACTGCATTCAGCCCATTTCTACTGAAATCATCAAGCTGTCATAGTCATTCATTCATTCACATTCATTCATTCATTGAGATAGGATCTCATTCCCTATGTAGCACTGGTTGGCTTGGAATTCATTATGTAGACCAGGCTAGCCTCAAACTCCCAGAGATCTTCCTGCCTCTGCCTCCAGAGTGCTGGGATTCAAGGTGTGTACCATCACATCCTGCTCAACCTGTCCTTTTTGGTCTTTTCTTTTTCATATTTTCTTTTCAACTCATCACAGCTCGTCTGTCAGGTGTGGACACTGTCTTCCATGGATGATTTCTGAAACCCCAGTTGTAACAGATGCTCTCAGCAGCTGTTCAGTTGCCACAGCTGCGCTCTACTCAGCAGCCGCTGCCACGTGGCAGCCTAACTCACCCTCCTGCTTCTCCCTCGGCCTCCTCACAAGCCAGACCCAGCACAGCAGCCATGGTGACTTTTTAAAAGACACTAATTGTATGTCATCATTTGATTGCTCAAAGTGTGATGGCTTCCCTATGGATTGGGATCTAGCTCAGATTTCTTCCCTTGGCCTATAAAGTCAAAACTTCCTCTCTAGATTCATCTCCTCCCATTATCTTTTCTGCAATGGTGGTTCTATTCTTTCTGTAACAGAGTCTGTTTTCTGCCACAGGTTCTCTGAACCTGCTGTTCCTTTGGCCCAGGACACATTCCCCATAAAACCAAAACTCAGACAAAGATCCTCCCTCCCTAGCCCAACTCTCTCAGATCCTATACTTTCTCACTAAATTTGCATAGATTCTTATCTGTTCATTTACCTGCCAATCCTCTTCCTTTCCTGTGAAACGTCATTGCATTTATTCATGAGTGTATTCTCTTGCACCTGGCATTCACAAAGGCAAGGTAATTAAGCAACAATGCTCAAGGAGGAACGAAAGACTGCTGCTGACACTCCATGGAAAGCAGCTGGGCAGTTACAAGGTGGCGCAGGCCTTTAATCCCAGCATGGGGGGGGGGGGTCAGATGCAGGCAGATCTCTGTGAGTTCAAGGCCAGCCTGGTGTACATAGTGAGTTCCAGGACAGCTGCGGCTACAGGGAGCCCGTCTCAAAAGACCAAAATAAATAAATAAATAAATAAATGTTTTCATAATCCTTCTTTTGGCAAACATCGTATTTTTAAGGCTGTTCAGGATTCAAAAGCTGAAAAACCTTGTCTCCTATTTTGCTCTCAACAATGTACCGCCCTTTCCGTATAAGACCACCTGGAATCCCCTGACTAGAAAGTGTAGCAGAATCAGTAAGGTTTGATACAGGGACATGAGGACATCAGAGCACTCAAGGCACTCCAAGGCAAAGGGCCTTCCATTCACGGGCTTTCTCTTGCTGTGAGAGAAACAGAAAGGCACACATGTATCAGCTGCATAACCTTCAGGAAAATACTTATGTACACCAGCGTGCTAAATTCAGGCTGAGGTTGGCTAGGAGAAATCAGAGAAGAACTCTGAGTGATCGCTTGAGGCAAGGCACTCCTCAGTAATTCTAAAGAAATTGTCATTTCCTCCCCAATAGAGCAAAAGGCTGAATGAATTTCAAGAAAGGGTCCTGCGTCTTTCATGTGCCTACAGAACCTGCTAAAACAGAGGTACTGTGAGACTATACAACATTCTACAAGGCATAAAAATACTCATAGAAGACTATTGCTTTTCGTCTGAATGGAAGACTTGAGTCTGTAGTATAAAATTGGTACAAAGAAAGTGCAGAAAAAGAATCATCCATAAAAAAGAAACTTAGTTGCAATTTCCTGTCCCACTGGTGTCCCATTCTTTCTCATTCTCCCTTGGCCAACACCCACCTAGAAAGTTAATTTTTAATTAATTAATGCATCACTACTCCCCCACATTCTTCCAGAAAACTGACCTCAGTACTTAATTTTCTTTAATACCTAAATATTTTATTCAGCCAATTGCAATCTCAGATTCCTTGAGTGATGCTAGATAGGTTGGTCAGTCTTCAGTGGATGAACTCCACACTGAGGGACATTTGAGGACATAAAACATGACTTGGTAGGCCTTAACATATATGACAGAATGCATGGAATCTGGTGGGAAGACTTATAGGGGAGTGTGAACAGGAGAGGGGGATCTAAATATAATCAAGATGCATTGTATGAAATGCACAAAAATTGAATAAAAAGTCTTTTTTACAAAAAGTAAGAAGAGGTCTGAGGATCTATCAATGGTAAAAGACTTCCCTAGCATGCATGAAGCTCTGGATTCAACCGCCAATAATTTAATTTGAAAGTATAAGCTCTCTCAGGCTAGAGAGATGGCTCAGTGGTTAAGAGCACTGCCTGCTCTGTCAGAGGACCCAGGTTTGATTCCCAGCACCCACACAGTGACTAACAACCACTTGTAACTCCAGTTCCAGGGGATCGGATGCCTTCTTCTGACCTCCGTGGGCACTGGCACGACCTGGGTACACTTACACACATGCAAGCAATACACTCATACACATAAAATAAAAAATAATAAATAAAATATTTTTAAGCCTGGACTACATAGTGAGTTCAGGTCAGCTGGGACTACAGGGAGACCCTATCTCAAAAAGAAAAAAAAAAAAAAAAAAAAAAAAAAAAAATGCTCTCATCAAAGTGCCACAATTTGGCAAACATTAGCCAAATGTCTTCCTCAGTCAGTGATACCACAGTCCAGAAGCTACAGTCTTCATATCTGTGCGCAAACAGAATTGTTTCTCAATTAGTGTGGGATTTTCTCCATGGAAGGTAAGAGCTTTATTTACTAAGTCAGGGCTACAGAACAGTGGTGAAGTTTTTACCTGGCATATGCAAAGTCCTGGGTTCAATCTCCAGGATTGGAGAGGGTGATAAAATCTTTGCTAAAAGTTCCTTCTTTTATAGTGATATCTAATCTTTAAAAATCATCCCATAGCTCTGTTTTTTTGGTATTAAGGCATTTGGACAAATGTTAAATTGTGAGATTGGTCCTCCTGGGGATAATTTTGAAATATCGAAAGAATTCACAAATCTGAGGTGAGTGAGGAACGCTGGAGATTGATATACTTCACTATTTTTCAAGGATGTAAGCATACAGCTAGATAAAAGAAAACAAGTAAACACTCATGATAAATGTCAAATTTGGTACATTATGCATGGTTAACATCAACATCATAAAGCACAAAACTGAATTCTTTTCAGGCTAAAAATTAGGAATTAATTGTAAACTATGACCTACTACATAACTATTTCTTCAAATGACCATAAGTTCCACAAGAACTTAATTTATGACTTAAGTATGAAACAGTCACTATGTCACATTATTTATAGTACAGTCATTGCTGGGGCTCCTTACGTTGTCCGCAGTAAGTTCCGATATATCCCTTCTGGCATTGGCAGTGGTCCTCAGCACAAGTTCCACCATTCATGCACCTCACGGTGCATTGCTGAACTACAAAGGAAAGCAACAAGAAATCACAAATAACCATTACCAAATTATATGCATAAGTTTACAAAACTACAAACTGTATGTCCACTCCGATGGCAAATATATTCTAATGGAAGTAAAAGTTATGATCTAACAAATGTTTACTATTTGTCATAAGTCACTCATGGGCATATCTGTTATCACATAGTATTTAGTATTTAAAATATACTTGCAGGGGCTGGAGAGATGGCTCAGCAGTTAAGAGCACTGGGTGCTTTTGTAGAAGACCTGGGTTTGGTTCCCAGCACCCACATGGCGGCTAACAACCATCCATAACTACAGTTCCAGGGGATTTGATGCCTTATTCTGACCTCTTCAGGCATTGCAGGACACAGGTGCACTTACATACATGCAGGCAATACACGCACACACACAAAATAAAAATAATATATTAATATATATATATATTCAATATATTCCAGTTGTCAAAGGAAATCACTAGAAGGTGGTTAGTCCCAACATTTTCTAAGTGGGTCATGAAAAATACATTCTTCATCTTCTATTATAGCTATCTGAATGGAGTTGTTGGAAAATAGTATGTTTATAGGAAAATAAGCTAGTATATGTGAAATAGTTGGTCAGTATCCAATAAGTATTTGCTGTCTTCCTAATCCTCTTTTCTCCCCAGAGTTAACCCATAAATAGAACAAAGGCTGCAGTAGTTATGCAAAAGACAACAACATAACCTGGCATTCGAGACCACAGGCTTCGGCATGAGCATCTAGACGCCAGTGTACATTGTCTTGAGTAGATTGGTTAATATATGTGTGTCTCACATCCCTACTCCATAAAATGGGATCATAACAACTGTTGACAAGAGGATTGAAGTAATACAGCCAAACACCCCAAGCTGAACCTGGTGCATATTAAAAATTGCAGTTATGAAGGATTACTTCACTAAATCCTAACTGATCTCCTGCATAGACACATAGCTCCTGAAACAAAAAAATGGTTTTTCTATTGAAAACGATTTCGCTTTGTTTTCTCAAAGGTCTTTTTCCAACTTTTTGAGGAAAATACTTGCCCATCTGTATCTGCTTTGAAGAGGACATTTAGCACTGATTCAAAAGCTTATGGATAACAGTGATTGAGGCCACATGTAAAGAACATACTTGATTTTGCTCCACAGGTTGGTGATATCTGGCCACTGGAACAAGTACACATGTTCGGACGGGAACAAAATCCATCACCACAACTGTTCCTACAAATTGCTGTAGAAAACACAGCAGGAAAATATGAATGAATAAGAATACTTTACAAAACAAGAAAGCCACATTCTGAAACATAGAACATGAGGTGAATGGCCGGAAATGTCTGACTTCAGATATGTAAAAATTTGCCAGCCTAGACATAGGCATAGTGTTCAGTCTCCTTGTAATAATGTACAAACAAATGAAGCTATTTTAAATTCTATAATATTGAAGCAACACTAATGTTTTTATATGTCTATTAATGCAAGTTGCTTTTCCCACTTGAAACTAAGAATTTAAAATGGAGAATCCACCAAAAAGAGGCAGCCTTGATCCTAGAAAGCTGGGATTATGGAGGAAACCCAGAGAGACTGCACACTCTTAGAAAATTTAGCCCGCTATGTAAAGGACCTTCACAGAGGGCCAAGAATGTGAAATTCGTGGAGCCAGAGACCCCAGGCCCTAATGAGCTGGCCAAACCTCACACTCCACTCGCATTCCACCCCAGCTGGCGTCTGCCCTGCTTGTCATCAATCTTTATTCCCCTTCATAATTTCCACTCTCCTTTCTTCAGTCTTTCCTTTAGAATATTAGCCCCATAACATAGCCTACTCCTGCTGCTCAGAAAAGTCACTGAGACATTCTGATGGGAGGAGTGAGAGACTTGAAACTTCCTACACCGTGACCTCCAGAGAACAAGAGGGTTATCAGAACCTAGACTCCTAGGCTCATTGACACAGCACATACCACAGATACTCAAAACCTACAGTCAAGTACCTTTAAACAGGAAGTCTAGTCCAAATTTAGTTGGGTCTCTTAGGAGCTGAAAGATTTATCTCTATACCCTCAACTGAACTCTTTCATTGAGCACGGACTGTGTGCTGATGGCTCCATGCCTGAAACCAGAGGAGAGTCTGGGGGTGCTTTGAAACTAGCTGTAAACACTTACACCAATGTGAACGTGAATCTTGTGCTAGAAGTCTCACAGCTTTTAAACAGACTTGGAACCCTCAATAATGTAAGGTGCAAACCAACTGAGTAATTGCTTTTTAGTAATTCTCTAAATCCCCCTTGACATTCCTATCATATGAGCAGTATCATCATCAGTATTCCTTTTGAATGAAAATAATGTGACTATCTAAAGATTGAAAAATGGGCAAGAATATGCCCTTCGCCATAGAATTGATTAAAACTTCTTAAATGTTCTAGTTTTTGACCACCAAATTGACAAATGCCCATTAAATATTGTTTCATTTCAATGATCCCTCCTTCTTAGCAGGCAGGGAGTTAATCTAGGCTTAAATGAAGTATCCCCATTTAGATCTCAAATCCAATGAGGCTGAGGGGGTGCTGGAGCTTAAACATTCTGAGGCATTTAGTTATCTGAAAAGGCTGCAGTGTGTGCTGTACGTGAGCCAGGGAGAAGCACGAGTGATGAAGTCTTTCTTCCCTACACTCTGTGGTCCCATCTCAACTATAAGGCCTAGGAACATTGGAAGGAGGGGGAGGAAGGACCTATGATGCTGGAAGCTGTGTGGGTAGGTAGTTGAGACATATGTGCCACATACATAGAGGTCTGATGTTGAGTTCTCACTCTGTAGATGGCCCACCAGAGCACAGGGAACACACATATTTCTCTGGGATCAGTTTTCTCATTAGAAACAGCATTGCAGAGATTGTACTGGAGTGTTCTGATGTCTCTTCAGGTCTCAGACGCTAGGAAGCCTAGTCAGTCCCCTCTCACAGCTTTTCCATTCATCAAAATATGGTTTGCAGCATACTTTCTCAATAAATAAATGAATAAACAAAGTCTTCTTCCATTACTTCATGTTCTAAGATGACTTTTAAAAATATTTTAAAAAGGAAAGTGAGAAGATCAATTTTATCCTTTTGGAAACAAACATTTGGAAATTTAGAGAACTTCAATGAGACTGTTAAGCCACACTTGAGAATAACCACTATTGGGCATGATAGCTCACACCTGCAATCTCAGCTCGAAGGAGGCTAAGATAGGAAGCCTGGGAATTCAAGGCCACCTGAACAACACAGTTAGTCCCAGGCCAGCACGGGCTACCTAGTCTGCCTGTGCCTTAAAAAAAAACAACAAAATAATAACAATAATAAAAGAGTCTCAAATCAAAATGCATCTGGCTTTTTAAAAAAGGAAGACATACATTTATTTTAACATTTGTTTTATCATAAGACCTGATAAAAGTCAAACAGGGTGAAATTTAAAAGATGACCATTTTAATATCTTTCTACATAGAGAAAATGCTGATATATGTATAGGAAAATTAATCTTTGATTCTCAATTTTTATTTAAAGATTACTTTTTTTTGCCTCACAGATTGTCTTTGCCTAATGGTGAAATGTAAGTAAATTCACTAAAAAATACTTGTATCAAGAGATCTCAGAATTAAAATTCCTGATTTTAAGTTTACAATGGTTTAAATTTTGTTATTTTCTCTATATATGACCATTTTAATGTCAAAAATAGTTGAATTACTGAATTTAATGCAGCTAAAAGTTAGGTGAGATTCACATAATAGGACATCAGTGTAGTATAGTCTCCCTCTTTATTACTTTGTTAAGGTGATTATAAATATTATATGAATATACTTGACAACAAATGTCATAAATATTTCTTGGAGATACAAAAATCTTCAAGGTTTGTGCTTTTTATAGATCTCTGATACATGAAATCTCAGTGTATCCCATAAGCACCTAACTGTTTCAAGAGCACAACTGTCAGCTATAATACTCACTCTGAGATGTTAGAAGCTGATCTTCTAAATGTCACAATGATACTTAAAAACCACAAGTATTTAAAGTGGACACTAGTTGGGCCATACATTTATTTCTACTGCAAATATTCTGGATGGCTTTGCTCTCTGGAATTTCCATTCCTCACTGATCCAATAAAACCTGACTTTACAGATTTTCAATGTGTACCATAAACCAATTCCTTCTCCTCGGCTGCTCTCCAATTCAATAATGGCAGTCACACTCATTACATTTAGTGAGTCAGACTTTCCGAAGTGCCTAAGTCATTCCCGCCTAGTATGGCAGGTGTGTGGTGAGTGACATGAGCTGTTTCAAGATTCTAGGAAACCATGTAAGTGGGAGGCAGTCACAGTCATGCCCTACTGGCCAGAAAGAGTAATGCACCTTCCCTAAATACTTCACAAAGGACTTTCTGTGTCAGAGAAAAGCAAGCAACACCCACCCATTCCTTTTTCCTCTTTCATCAAAGCAAAAAGCTGTAAGTGGAGGGTTTATTTAAATATGTATAAATCACTTTGAAGATCGTGGTAATTATTTCTTGTTTGTGTAGCATTACTAGAGATTGTGGGACTTCAGGATAGAGAAAACAAGACAAAACTAATCTCAGGATAAAGCTTGAGATTTCATTCTTTTTTAAAGAACTGCCCAGAAATAGCATTCAGGGTCTGTCTCAAACCCACAAACCAATAAATATAGAGCTGGAGATGCCACCGTATCCACAGTATCCCTTGGCTAGGGTAACTTGCCTTTTTTCTCTGTTCACAGTAGTATAATTATCTTTCCCTGGAAACCATCAAGGTCAATCTAAGGTCAAGACCAGCAGTAGATGTATGTGCTGTCTGTGACCTGGCTGTCCTCCAGACTGGACAAATGTGAATGTGCTACACAAACACACAGGAAAGGACCCATCACACTTTGCATCACAAGCCTGTGAAGTAATACCTTGCAGAGCCCTTGATCATGAGACTGGAAACTAACCAGTTCTCCTGTTAGAGCTTGGAGATCTGCATATACACTTTGGACACTGAATAAAACAATCAAAACTTTTAAAGTCAGATGCACATAAGTTTTCAAGTTCTAAGATTCATACTTGAGAAGATCTACTGCATACTATAAGATTTTCCATCTGAAATTTCTAAATTTAAATGTCCCTTCACCAAAAGAAAGGTCAACCAACTTAGATGAATTCTCTCTAAAAAACAATTCTGTAAACTTTGGGTCAGTTCAAATTCTGTGAGAGTGATCCTTTTAAATCTTTGCCATGCAGTTTTGGAGATTAACCCAGAGATAATAAAGTGGTTTTGTATAAAGGCAGGAGAAAGACGATAGACTGTCTGATGGCCAAAATCCAGTACAGCCCAAAGCCTGGTCGTTTACATAGTAGTAGTCTTATCTGAAATTTTAAAAGAAAGGGTGTTTGGGGGTTATCTAGGGGATTGCTCTCACACAATCTCCCTTTAGTTTGTATCAATACACGCAAGAAGAGAAAACAAAGCGCCCAAGCATCTGTAAAATCTATCATTTGTTGCCATGGTTCCGTTAGTCTGAATTCATGGACCGGCTGCTTCCTTCCACCACTGGAACTGGGCTGAGCTCTTATTACCAGGGTTGTGCTGCCACTGCACTGTAAATCCAACTGCATGTTCAAAAGACTGACTGCTATGTCGGCCCTGAAATAGGGTCGAGTATGGTGCCCAGGTCTATGAGCCCACGCAAACACTCACGGACAATGCATTGGTTTCCTCCTGGGAGCGTCTTCCATCCAGGACAGCAGTAGGAGTGGAACCTGGAGCCGCACACGTTGGGCCTGCAGGGTACAAACACCGTGATGGACAAGTAAGGATGGGTGGAGTAACGCAAAAACAGTTTTCCTAAGCAAAGCTTGAGTGAGTAGATTTCAGGACAACAAACAAATCAAAACTACACTTCAAATTCTTGGGGTTTGGGAAGCAGATGTGGAATAGGCAAGATGACGGGAGGGGGGGAGGGTCCGAAGTATCTAAGGATCCCCTTTCATCTGTCCTCCTTTGCTTGCCTTTCTAAAAGGCAAAGGGAGACATGGAAACATGTAATTTGCTACGATTCTATCCTCCGGAGGCTGAGAACAAAAGGACCAGTCCGTTCAAAAAATGCTTGCCCTGGTTCAAAGATTCATCCCTCCTTGATCAAAAGTTTCTTTGGTCCCCAAGTGTCAAAGAAGGCTCTCAGAAGATAGGGCTCTGGGGTAGGAGATTAGAGAAACAGCGGATACCCCTGCGCACATCCTCAAACAAAAGGCTCTGGAGCTGCGCCCCCGACGGTGGGGAGCAGGCGCCACTAGCCGCGCTCGGGCTGACCCAGGCCCGCTGTCTACCTGACACTGGGCAACTTTTCCAGCACCACAGACGTAGCTCATGCTCTGCTCTGCCATCCGCACCCGAAGGCCCGGCTTTCCCCCGCTGCAAGCGCCAGCCGGAGCCCCCAAGGAGGACTTTTCTCTGGCTGAACTGAGGCTTTGGAGAGCAAAAGCGGGGGTGCCCCTGGGGAGACTCAATGAAGGCGCCTTTGCCTGCCAGGACCAGAGTCAGGGAGGGCGTGGAACAGAGAGCAGCGAAACGGAGGTCCCTGCGCAAGCCAGTCACCTCGGCCCGGTGCCAGTGCCCACCTACCCTCGGAGCACGTCCTGCTGTCCTCGCCTGCGGACCCGGCTCGCCGCTACCGCGCCCTCCTCCCGGTAGTCGGGCGCCGCGAACCCGCCTTCCGAGCCTCCTGCAGCGGGCCGGAGCATCTTAGGTGGCGGAGGCTGAGGCTGGCCGGCTGTGCCCTGCGCCCAGAGCGCCACGCAACCCAGCCACACTAAGTAGGGCTGGAGACACAGCCGCCGACGTCTCCCCATCGCCGGCGCCTAGAGCGCGTGAATGTAGGCCCGCGGAGAGGGGGCGATCGAAGACCAAATCCACCAAATCCCGAAAAAAGTCAGGGTCTATCGAGCCCCTCGTCAGCTCCCGGGGATCCCTGGGTTGTGGTCCCTGGTCTAGCTGGGCACAGCGCTCGCCCTGACTGCCCCGGCGCTGGGCGCGGGCTCTAGCGCAGTGGGCAGCGAGGCGCGGCGTCAATGAGGCCGGCAGCCCCGCGTGGTCCACGTTGCATCCCCCGGGCCACGGCCCCGAGCGACTTCAGGACCGCCAGCGGGTGGGGGCGGGAAATTACAAAAGTAACCCGAGCAGCCGCGGCGTAAAGTTACAAAGAAAGCGGACCTCACAGGGGAAAAAAAAGGGGAGGGGGCGGTGCACGCCGAGGCTCAGCAGACTCCTGTGCGCTCCGGGCACAGATCTTGGAAAGCTGCAGAAGTCACCGAAGAAAGCAGGCGAGCAAACAAAAGTCGCCCTCCAAAAAGAAGAGGGTCTCCTTGGGGCTCGTTTGGAGTCCCACGGGGCGCGACGCGCGGGCGGCGGCTGCAGAGCGGGTCCAAGCTGCACCGGGCCGGGGCGAGCAGCCGGCAAGAGGGAGCGCTGCAGGCTGGACGCCGGAAAGATACCGCGGAGGGCGCGGCGCAGGGGTTTTAGAGGCCTGGCGCGGCGCAGGGCGGGACGGCGGGCGGTGGCTGTCAGTGGGGGCCCCGGCGTAGTCGTCCACACGTGGAGCGCAGCCCGGACCCAGGGGCCGGCGGCGCCGAGTGGGCGGGGACAGGGGAAGGGCGCAGGAAGGGGGGGGCAGGGCAAAGGGAGCCTAGGGGACGCAGATTAGGGAGAAGGGGGGCGAGCCTGAGACCTAGCCGAGGCTGGAAGCAGGGTTTACGAAGAGGGACTGGCGAGCCCGGGTGCGAGAGGAAATGAGGGGGGGGGATGGGGAGAGACCAGGGCGAGGAGAGAAGCTGGAAGGGAGGGAGGGAAGGCCCTAGCAGAGAGGAGGGGGCCGGGGGCCGTTTGGAGGGGCGCGGCGAGGCGGCTTTGCTTCCCGTCCCCCTCCGCTGGCCACTAGCTCTGTTTTGACTGACTGCACAGAGTAAGCAGACGACGGGGAAGGGGGCGCCCAGGGACCGGACTGGGGAAAAGCCCCTGCGGCAGCCCCTGCCCCTCTCCCTCAGCCTCCTAGGACCCGCGGACTGGAGACCAGGGTCCCCAAGTCCTCTACTCTCGGCTGGTCTGCAGCCGAACTTCCCCGCCGGAACAGAGGCCACACGGTAGAAGATGAGAACCAGTTCTCCTGCAGAGACTCAGACTCTGATCCGAGGTGGGGGGCTTCTCAACTGGCCCGGGACAGATCCCCCCCCCCCCATCCCTTTGCTAGAGTTAGTAGCAGCCAAGATCCTAGGAGGCCAGGCTGTTCGGATTGGTGATCACTGTGGCTCTGCTGCCCGCACCTCCCCACCCGGAACACCATCGGTCTGCTGGACATTTCCAGATTAAACCGCGTCCGCACATGTACAAGGACTTCACACCACCGCGGAGAACCTCGAACATGCGTTGGCGCTGCAGTCCAGGGGAATCCATAGAGGGGAAGTGTTCAGTGTGACCCCAACCCTGGCAGGAGTCTGCCGGGATCCTCATCCAGGGAGGGGTTAGAGACCCCGAAGTTTTGCTGTTGGGAGGTCAAATGGCTACGGAGCACGTAAATGGAGCTTGGGTCGCGTCTCTACCTTTTGATTAATGCTTAAACCCTGCCAATTGGTGCAGTGCTGCTGTAAATTTAGCGCGTGTCTTCCCAGACTCAGGTGCTCTTTTCATAAGGTCTCTATGAAGCCTTGACACCTCTTTGACAATGGAATTAATCGAAAACAAAACAAAACAAAAACTCCACACACATCTGAAAACCAGGAATGCGCACCAGTTTGGGAAGTGATGTGGGAAAGCATTGTCTGGCTTAATCCAGCCTAGAGTGCCCCACTTTAAAAGAAATGAGTGTGCATCATTGTTTTCCTAGCCCAAATTGCCCAGATGTGCCATTTGACAGCCAAAAATTCTTGGAAAATTGGCACCCTTCCCTCCTTTATTTCCCCAGTGTAGCTGAAGTTGGCAGACAGACTTTTAGGTAGTAGTCCTTACAATATTCTCACAAAGCAGAAGGGAAAGCAGGGGTCACAGAGTTTCAGGGATGGGCACCAGTTTGTCGCACTGGGAGCAACAGAGATATTTTTCCTGTTCTTTGCTTCAAATATAATTATTTAAAGAACTAAATAAATGATCTCATGAGTTAAAGCAGCATTTTAATCTTACCCTTTACAATATTCTATGATTTTTCATTTAATTCTTAAATGACTTCATATTTCATTCCTGTTTATTGCATTAAATCCAAATGTTCTAAAATCCCATATACCTTTACCCTTTCCCTCCATGTTTAGGAACCTATATAAAAATACATGGGAAAATACAAAATGATGGATCCATTAAACTGTTCATTGCACTGCTGTTTGTAATTGCAAAAGACAGGAGTGGGAACATTTCATCAAGAAAAACTGGATACTTGCTTAGTCCATTCTATGGAATACTATGCAAATATAAGGAAAATTAATTAGGTGAAGCTTTATATTCCTCTGGAATGATGTCAAACAAAGGCATCTGGGGCAAAATCCAGCAAGGTGCTGACAAAACAGGCATTTCATTGAGAGAAGGTAGAATACAGGTTACCAGGATGAGGGAGAAAGAAAAATGAGTTATTATTCTATAGGTACAGAGTTTCTATTTAGGATTATGAAACCATTCTGGGTGCAGATAGCAGTGGTGGCTGCACTTAGTTTGAATGTAATTAATCTTATGGCACTATGTATTCAAAATGATTACAACAGTAAATTTTATGTTATATACATAGCATTTTACCATAATTATTTTAAATGTAAGATATACAATTTTATATTGCATACTACCTTCTCTCTGTGTGTGTGTGTGTGTGTGTGTGTGTGCATTGCTTTTAAAATAGAAGTATAAATCAAATCTAATAAAAATAACCTGTAGGGAAAAGAGAGACTATGCAAGAAAAGCTAATGTAAGCTACACCTACTTTTATAGTTTTGAAACCATGTATATATCTAATATAATTAAAAACAAAATTAAATTTTAAAAGAACAATAAATTTTAAAAGAACGAGAAGAAAGTAAAATAAATTGGATACATTTATAGTGTAGCCACAGTGTAAGCAGCTCAAGATGGTATTTGAACCATAAATCTTTAGTGAAATATAACTCGAGAATGAAAAAACATAAAAAAATCTGAAATTTCATTCCATGGCAATAATGTGTGTAAGAGAGAGAATGGGAAATCAAAACTTAGTGGGTAAAAGTGCTAGCTTTTAAACTTGAAAAGTTTAAAAACTTGAAAACACAAACTCAATCTCTAGAATCCATGTAAAAAGCTAGATGCAGGGGTATGCATCTGTAGTCCCAGCACTCCTAGGGTGACATGGGAGCTAGAGATAAGAGACTCATCCTGAAACTCGTGGAACAGAGAGCCTAGAGTACACAGTATGTCAGCAAAAAAGGAGATGAGAGATGCTGATCTGACTGGCTGAGAGGTAGAAACCAACTCTTGAAGTTTTCCCCTGATCTCCATATACATGCTGTGGTACATACATACATCCACATAGCACACATGCACACACACATACACACATGCTATTTTAAAAATGAGAGAGAGCAGAATGGGAGCCAAGAAGCCCAGAATGCTGACAGTAATGTGTATAGTAGAGACCTGGCTCCTGAAGCTCCATGGGGGAAACAAGAACTTTATTGGGAATGGACTAGAAATCGTTCCCATATTCAGGCAGTATTTTGCTCATATTCTTAAAATGTGAACTAAGCTGAATTCAAAAGTGATGAGCTAACTTTTGATGGAGGAAATTTTGAAATAATGCAACATTAAGGCTGTGACATGACTGTTGCTCATTGCATTCACTAAGATTTACCATGAAAGAGAACAGAACGTGGAACACAAGGGAAGGAGAATGTGCAGTTTGGTGAGGGGAGGAGCTGGAACTCTGTTAACACTGAGAGGCGTAGACAAAGGCCAATAATGATTAAAGAAGTTAGCCTATTAAAGCGGACACTCTGCCTTGCACAGGGACAATAGGAAAGGTGAACTGTATAAACTGTAAACATGAGATATAATCACAAGTTATATATTTCCAATTACAATGGCACAAGGTAACATTTTCATTCCATCAAAAGCTCCAGGCATAACAATGCAAATAGAAAGAAAGGTGTCTGAAAAGATAGAACCATCAGGGTATCCTGCTGGCAAGTGGTCAGCTGAGGAAGTGTTTTTGCAGGTACAGACATGAAGGAATACCATGTGGCTGCTACAACTGTGATCCAAGGGAGCCAGGTTGTCCCTTAAGCTAGAATTAGAACTTTGTTGTCAACCATGTGATGCTGGTTTTGCAGACTTACAGAATTTAAGAGTAAGGCAGTCCTTGAAGCTTCCACCAAGGTTCTAAGAAGCCATTGAAGCCAGGAAACTGGATCAGATTCTCTGTATGGAGCCCTCAAGTGGGCTGTGTGTAAAAGCAAAGCTTAAGCAGCTTTCTCCTCAGAATACTGGAAATGCCAGAAATGAGGGACATTTGATAGGGAAAGCTCCAAGCACTGAGCAGAGCCAACTCATCTGGAAGACTGCATGTGTGATAGTCAACAGAGCTAGGAGGACAGCTACCCAAGCCTACTGGAGCTCAGATGATGCCATCAGGATTCCCAGATGTGGGACATAAAGCTGAGGGTTTGGGGTTTTTGCCTTGCTGGATTTTGGTCTTGCTTTGGCCTGATTTTCCTTGTTATCCACCCTTTTGGGATGAGACTGTTCATTTGTGCTATTGGAATTAAAAATACATAACTTGTTATTATAGGTTATTTAGCTTTATAGATTATACAGTTCAGAGATTGTTTGAATCCCAGAAAGAGACAAAATGTTGAAACTGTTAAGACTAGAGAATTTTGAAATTAGGTTAAGTGCATTTTTCATTATGAGATGATGATCTTATGTGGTCAGGGCAGAATGTTAAGGTTGAGAAGTGTTTCCCCTAGGTTCATGTGTTTGAACACTTGGTCCCTAACTGATTGTGCTTTTGGGGGGAGGTCGTGGATTCTTTGGGATGTGAGGCTTTGCTGGAAGAAGTGTGTCACCAGGCAGGGGGCAATCCTTGAGTTTATAGCCTGGCCCTACTTCTTGTCCTGTCTCTGCTTCCTCCTGCTGTCTGCTGATATATTAAAAAGTAGCTTTGTGCTCCCTCTGACACAGTAGTGAGACACTTCCTCTACCAGGCCTTCCCCATTATGATTGCCATCATGACCTTAAGTTGCTTCTTGACAAGTATTTGATCATTTCAATAAGAAAACTAATGCAACCGAAAAGCAAGAACTCTATCAGACTATTATGGCTGTGTCAAGGGGCAATCAGAGCTAGCTTGAAAAAGATCCTTCTGTCTGAAGATGAGAAAACTTTAGTACCAGATAAAAGAAAAATGACTGCAAGGAATTGGGGTATATGAAATGTTAAATATTCCAGATTTCCAGGTGCTACTCAAAATAGGTTGTCAGTTATCAAAGTGCAGCTTTTT